TTCCACAAAGAACTGGCTTCTAGGGTCTGCATTCGGTGGTGGTCGAGCTTGACCGTGATGGACAGGCAGGCTGCTGACTAAGACAGGCAGATCAAAGGCGCTGCCGTTTGTCTCGGTGCATGGCCAGTAGCTTGTCATGGAACTTCTGCATGAGGTCTTCGTTGCTGTCGGCAGGGTTGCCCCCTTTGACGAGCTCGAAAAGTGCCTTAGACTCCTCAAAAGTGGGGTCGAGGTCCCGCTTGACGCCGCCACCAGAGGAGCCGTCATCACCAGGAGCAGGAGGCTCAGCAGGACTCTCAGCGGTCTGCTGTGGCATTGGGGCGTCCACGGGCTCGGGCGCGGTTGCCTTCCGCACCTGGCCCTCGAGGTCCGCGAACAACTTGGCCGTGGCCCCCGCTCCGATGGACTCGAGGGCGGTACGGAGCTCCTCGGGGAGCCCATCCTTGTCGAACTTGAACTCAGGGAAAAGGGACCGCTCTGGGGCGACAGCCTTGGCGGTCTCAGCGAACGACTTCTTGTAGCCATCAATATCCGCCTCCTTGGTGGTGATTGCGGCCCTCTTGTTCTCCAGTGCAGCCTGGAGGTCATGAACTTGCTTGGACATATTCTCAGCCTCGCGCTGGAGCTTGACCAGCTGCGATTGCGCGTTCTTGAGCTAATCCTGGGCCCTGCGATGGGCAGCCTCAGGCGTCTGGACACTCTCGAGCTGCACACGGAGGGTCTCAATCTCAAGCTGGTGCGCCTGCTTGACATGAGACGGCAGCGACGGTTCCTTGAGGTACTTTTCGTAGAGGGTGATCGACGAGAGAATCTCCGCACGGGAAGCTCCTGCATCCTTCGGCCTCTCAGCACCTGTACCCTGGTCGGGCGTCGGGTCCTTGAGGCCTGTGTTGGCCAACTTGCGCTCGAGCGCGGCCACCTGCTTGCGGAGCTCCTCATGCTGGTCCCGTGCCCATGGCGCTGGTGTGGCACGACGGCCACCAAGCACGGGCTTCCTCCCTTGCACTTCCTTCTCAGCTCTGGCGTGTGCGGTCTTGGCTGCGGCGACGATGCGAGCCGGGGCAGCGGTGCCGCAACGGCAGCGAACACGGCACGCCCAGTTCTTGTCTGCGCCACAACTGCATCCCCAGTACGGCATCTTGGGGCCGCGCAGCACATCGGAGACGGGAGGCGGTGGGACCATGGGGCTCGCGAGCCCTCCTGCTGGAGGACCCCTGAAAAATTGGATTGTCTGGCTCGGGAAACAGAGCTATCCCACTTTGGCACGAGGGCGCGGAAGCCCCCAAGTGCAAGCATCTTGAGCCAAAATGGCTACGGAGGAGGAGGAGGGGGAGGAGGAGGAGGAGGAGGAGGAGGAGGAGGAGGAGGAGGAGAGGGAGGAGGAGGATAGGAGGAAGAGGAGAAGGCGGAGGAGAAGGAGGAAGAGGGGAGGAGAACAGCTGCCGATCATCGGCGCTCTTCGTTCGAGTGCCTGGTGTAGGATGGGCTGGTGGGGATATTTTTTTACAGCCGCAGGCGGAAGCGCCGGCGGCGGGCGATCGCGGTCGGGCTGCGGCCGCGACTAGCGGCGGGCGCGCGCGAAGCCGCGGTCAGGCGGCAGGCAGCAGCGACCCAGGGCGTCTGAGCCAAGGCGTGCAATCCAGGGAGTCTGCAGGGCAGTCCCAGGACGGGTCATGCAACGGCGCATCCAGGGAGTCTGAACACAGGCACCGAGGAAGCCGAGCGCAGCCAAAATGGCGCGTAACGCGCTCCCAACAGTTCGAATCGAACGGGTAGGAACGGTCCCGAAGACGTCTATCCAGGGAGTCTGACGGGTAACACAGACTGTCTGGCGACAAAGTCCAACGGGAAGACCTGACGGCGGATCAGAACATCGCAACGTCAGTACACGCATCCAGGGTGCGGAATCAGAGTGGCCAGAAAGAACTTCCACAACTGAGATGCGTCAGGCCCTTGATCCAACGACAGATAAGGGCGCAGCAGTGCGCACAAAGCCACACGGTAGGAACGCAGGCCGAAGGTGCACATCCAAAGTGTCTCAGCGCCACCCATAAACGAGTCAGGTAGCACCCGAGGGACGGGACCGTCGTATACCCAAAACGCGTCCCTCAGAGTCACTTCGATCCACTGGTGGGGATACTTCTTTTTTTTACAGCCGCAGGCGAAGCGTCAAGAATTTTTAGTGTTTCCCAGCCATCCCGTGGTGTTAGATCTTCGCCTTAAAGAGGCAACGCCCCGCGACACTCTTCTCCGCTCCTCATCCACCTCCTCCTCCTCCCGCCTCCCACCCCTGCCTCTGCCCTCCGCATGTTCACCTCGTCGTGGCCCCATAGAGAAATCCACCCAAGGCCCCTGCGGCAGGGTCTAGATGCGTCCATTCGCCCCATGTCGGCACATCCCTCACACGTTTCGTGGCCCCATAAGGAACATGCGTCCCCCCGACCCATCTCGGCACACCCTTCACAAGTTCTGTTGACCCATGAGGAGCTCCGCCGAAAGC